TGTTCTTTGGCACATGGGTAGGTAGGAAGGAAGAAAATGATGGAAGCAATCCAGGATTTGGGTTTCACAAGATGTGGTTGGTAATAAGCAAGGGCCCAAGTGATTCAAGAGTAGAGGATAGTGTAGATTTGAATTGTTTTACCAAAAGGTAGAAATTTGGAAAGAAGGAGAATATAACTAGAGATGGTATGATGGCCTGATGGTATTGGAAGTTGTGGTAAAAATGAAGAATATATTTAGAAAGTGTGAGGCATAGAGACAGATGGAAACATAAAATACTATGGTTAAACAAATTTTGAGCTCTTTAATATGAAAATAAAACACTTGTGAGTAATCACAAAATCAAGCAATGATCATTCCTGGGTATAACTTCTGTGAGATGGAAGAGTAATTCATAGTTGAGTAAACTGAGGAACCTGGGAATTAGGGCATTTGAGAGAACATCAGCATTTCTACTGAAGTACCTGGTGGTCAGTTGGTAGTATCTACCAGAATACGAACTGGATGATAAGTTTAAATTGCCAAAACTTCGGAGAAGGAGAAGTTGCTGAATGATGGTAACAGAAGAAATGGAAGTGTGCTTTAGGAGCAAGAAATATTCTGATTCCTCCACTATGGTCCACGGGGCTGGGGGATAGTTAATGAATGGAAGTACAGTCAGTTCTGGAATGCAGTGTCATCATGGGGGAGCCTGTTCTTGATAAGCTCCAGAAGGTGGAAACAGTAAAAGAGAAAGTAGTTAATTGGTAAAATGAGAGGAAATTTGTTACTTATGGAACAGGCATGTCAGAGGATGCAGTGGAAGAGGCAGGTCCCATTGTAGTGGAACATTGTACAGCTAAAGTTTAGTGAGAGGACAAGATGGGGTTGAAGAAAGCGATTTGTTCTTTGGAAGTTGAGAGTTTAGTCATATAAGACCATCAAGAATAAGAAGAGATGGGACTATGCTAACTAACTATTGGGGGATGCAGAGTAAGAGTGAAGTCAGCGGATAAAGGCAAGTGCTTAGAAGGTTAGCTCTACCCTCAACTGTGCTAGGTGCCATGTAGATGAGTCCAAGGAAGATGCAGGAAGCCTATCTCACAGATTAGGATGTGGTCTGTTCCTTAGAATAATTTCACTGTGTACTATGGAGTTTTGGGTAAAGGGCCATTCTGTCCTTTAATAGGTTGCCAGACACTTTGGGGGCTGCTTAGGTTGTTGTGATGCCTATGTGTCTTCAGTTTTGAATAAATCCCAGGATTTCTGTCTGCAGTTCAAGCCTAGCAAATATTTATTGAATGCCCACTCCATGCTTAGCCTCTTTTTTGAATCAGCATTCTCTGTATTGGCCTACACAATGCACCTGATAAGCCTCATCTACTGCCTTCCTATTTGCCTTGGGCCAGAGTGGACATATCTCTTCTTAGAGAAGATTCAGGGGTAATGTAAAAGCTATCTTTAAGTATCTGAAGAGCTGTCATGTGGAAGAGGAATCTAGATTGTTTTACATGGCACGGGCGTCAAAGCTAGCTGTTGTGCAAGGGATTTGGAGAGAGAAAAATAAAGGCTTAATATCAGGAAAAAAATAAAACTTCTTAATAGTTAGAGGTGTTCAAGACTAATAGAATGCCCCCATAAAATAATGAGTTCTCCCTTATTAGAGGTTATTAAGCAAGGGCTGAGTTTACTGCTTGTTAAGTATATTGTATAGGTGGTAGGTTTTCAAATGTATATTGGGTTAGATGGCTTCTTGAGTACCTCTCCACTCTGAAATGCTGGATTTCTGTGACCTAGGAGGTCTCTTATTAGACAACATCATTGGCTCATTACATTGTAGGCCAGTAATAGTGGATAAATAAAAAGAAATTGAGCTACCTTCTCTTCTTGTGATATTATCACTCTGTTCTTTGCTGGGCCAATTCCTTGCTAGTTGTCATGTCTCTGGTGCTTTGTACTGGACATTGCATGTTTGCTTTATTCATCATTCTCTAGGGTTCGGAAGCGTCTCCTCTGCACCTCCTCTTTTTAGTGAGCTATCTCAGTTTTCCATTGGGCCTCAGCTATACTCTTCAGTTGAAGAACTGTCTTTCATGCCATCAGCTATTCTGTCCTTCACACACCAGTGAAGGCTGTGATCAGTAAGCCTTTCCCCAGGAGGGGAGGGCTGCAGCTTTCCTCAGTCAACTCTTTCAACCAATTACTATGAAGATCTTTCTTTCAGCCAACCTTTTCAAAGAATGTAGCACATTTTCAAGCTAATATCACATATATCCTTTGAACTCATCTCTCTTCTACTGTCTCTTCTGACTCCTTCATTTCCCTCACTCTTCTGACCTATATTGAGATACCCATTTTTGTAGGTATTCAGCTCCTTGGCTGAGGAAAGTATCCCTAGGGCTCTACTTCCTCAAATGGAACACAAGCTTAGTGAATCAGATTAAGAAACTGCTCTTAATTTGGTCATCATGCTTCTCTGTTTTATGTAATTACAAGTCTTGGGCTGGTTGGAGAAGATTGAAGAGTGACTCCTTGTCCTGTTTCATTTCAGCAAGAAATCACAGCCTGGATCATTTCCAGTCCCTCTATACATCAGTAACCATAATATATAAAACGAATGATGAGTGCTTTACAGAGGTAGAAAAGAAAATGCTATGTGGGATCTAAGAAGGAGATTCATTCAATCATTCAACATTTTACAATGATGGTAATAGTTCTCCCTTGTAGAGCAGAAGGTCTTTGCACATCTATGATGTCTTCTGATCTTCACAACAACCAGGATATAGCCAAAAGTGTTCTTCACATTTTACAATGAGAAAACTATCTCAGAGAACACAAGTGATTTGCTCAAAGTCACACAGATGACCAATATTAGTGACTGAGCAAGGACTAGGACCAAGATCTTGTGATTCCTGTTCTAATTCTCTTCCATTATACTGCATTGATTCAGTTCATACCATTTTAACTTCAAATATTTTCCCCTTTACATTTTACTCCCCCCCTCCATTGTCTCCTGTCACTCACCGTCTTTCTTTTTTTTCCCTTCTTTTTATATCTAATCAGCTTTTAATCTCTTGGGACCCTTTCTATGATTGAGATTCCTATAAAAACACAGTGTAGGCCCTGATTGTTCTAATTCTTCATTCATAAGATAACATTTTAAATTATGAGAACACATTAAAATTTTTATTATAAAATTTTTCACTTTGGAAAACTACATAGAAGTTACCTCAGTGTAAATTTCATTACTAAAAGTGAATCAGCATTTCCTTCCATCCACCAGACATAAAGGAAAGGTACTAGAATCTCAAATCTCATGAAATTTAATCAATACCAGAGACAAGCAAGGTCACTTCTAACAGTTTTAAATGAAATAAGGTTTCCTGCTTTGAATCAGTTGAAAATGTAGACTGAATTATCCTTATGACTATAGGAAATGTTATAAGTTTAAGTGGTAAGAGAGCAAACTGGACATTCAAAAATCTTGTAGGACTATATGAAATCTCAAAGCAAGACTAGCTTTTGTACTTTCTCGTAGGCTAATACTGAAAGTTACGGTAAAATCTTGGCAGCCTCCTTTCACAATGTGAGGCTGAAATACTTGCTGGCATCTAATAGATTTGGTTTTGTGAGAGGAGCTTTTTTAAAACTGTGTAGTCGAGCACCAGCCCTGAAGTCAGAAGGGCCTGAGTTCAAATCCAGCCTCAGACCAAACACTTGACACTTACTAGCTGTGTGACCCTGGGCAAGTCACTTAACCCCAATTGCTTAAAAAGCAAGCAAACAAACAAACAAACAAAAAACTGTGTAGTCCAGAGTCTTAGAAAGGCTGAGGTCCTGGACACACAGAAACAGGATTTACTCTCTGTAAAGGGCATAGTTCAATACTTGACATATAGTAGGTGCCTAATAAATGTTTATTCCCTTCTCTATACCCCTCCATTACCTGTCAGTGTATTACATATAGTAGGTGCTTAATAATTTTTTTTCAGTTGAATACTTCTTAACCAACAGGCAACATGGTACCATGAAAAGAACACTTGTTGCTGAATTAGGGAACGTGTTCAAAACCTGTCTCTGATACTTAGCTGCCATGTACCCTTGGCCCTGTCACTTATCCTACATAGGTGTCAATTTCCCTGTCTTTAAAATGAAGGAACTGGATTAGCTGGCCTCTGAGTTTCCTTCCAGCTCTAGCTATATGATCCCTGTGATAATTTTAGTCTGATCACGACAGCATTAAATGACTAATTCACTCAATTATAGAATTTATGGTTATTACGAGACCTTATTATTCAGCCATTTAAGTCATGTCTGACTGTTCTTGACTCCATTTGGAGTTTTTTGGCAAAGATACTGGTTTTCCATTTTCTTTTCCAGCTTATTTTACAGATGAGAAAACTGAGGCAAACAGGGTTAAGTGATTTGTCCAGTGTCACACAGCTAGTGAAGTGTCTGAGGCTGGATTTGAACCCAGGTCTTCCTGACTCCAGGTCTGGTGTTCTCTCCACTTGGCCACCTGGCTGCCCTTTGAGAGACCTTAGGCATCATATAGTCCAACTTCCTCATTTTACAGATAGAGAAACTGAGGCTCATAGGCCATGAGTTACTTACACAAGTTCACCCAGGTTTTAAATGGCATAAGCAAGATTCTACTTCTCTGGCTCCAAATCCAATGCTGTTTCCCAAGGCCTCCTTAATTAATGCCCAATCTCTATAATCACTGAGGTTTCTTTTTCTGGCTCTGCAGGTTGGGTATTCCATCATTTGCACCTGTTTTCAATACCCTTTCTTAAAGGGGCTTTGTCTTTTTTTCTCTGTATGCTTTAAAATGACATTTGAATGCGATAAAATATTTTTAAAATAAAGGTTTAAAACTGTGGCTCTACACATATAAAGTAGTCCAAAGGCACTGACTGTAAGGATAGAATCATAATAAGATTCCAGGGGATAGGGATGAAATTGTCCATAGTGTTGTTCCTGCTGCTCTTAATGGTCTATTAGCAGCTGTATCTGGCTCGATGCACACAGGTAAGTGGCTGTCACAATCCTTCCTGTTTCAGGTGAATTGGATCATTTGACTCTGTCCAAATAGGGTCAAGAAATGAGGACCCTGAAAGCTTCCTGTTGACATTGGAAGTAAAGACTAGGGGCCACCTTGAAACAAATAGCCTGACTGCTTTTAGACATCATCACAAGGGAATATTTTCTTCTCTGTTCATATTATTTTAGAGTAGCCTCTGATGTTTAACAGATATCCCCTCTCCATTCTCATTAAAATACAGTGAGCTAACATTTTAGTACAAGAGCTCTTTAGACTTTTGTACATATAATTTATCAAATCTCCTTTATTTTAAGTTTCTAGTTGACACATTTGCAGATCAGCAGGTGCAAAAATGATGAAAAGGTTTCTTTAGCTTTCACTATATAAGATACTAAAGGCATAAAAGAATTAATATATAGTGACGTCAAATTCCAGGTATATTTTCGTCTAGGTGTTGGCCAGTAGGCTGTAAGAAAGGTATGTTGGGGGCTGCTAGATGGTGCAGTGGATAGAGCACTGGTCCTGAAGTCAGGAGGACCTGAGTTCAAATCTGGCCTCAGACCAAACACTTGACACTTACTAGCTGTGTGACCCTGGGCAAGTCACTTAACCCCAATAGCCTTTAAAAAAAAGAAGGAAAAATATGTTGGTTAAAAACAAAACAAAAAAAAATATCATGGTTAAACCATACTTTCTCAAGGTTGCCAGACTTTCAGAACAAGAAGAGTAAGTATTTACACTGTGCTTTGTGCTTCACGGAAGAACATTTTAAGATGTGATTTCAGGATCCAAGAGTCTGGTTGGGAAGACAAAGCTCACACATAAAATAACAGCAAATAATATGGGAGAGTGTATTATTAAGTGTTAAATTGTGTGGTAGAGACTTGTGAGCACAGCAGGAGTTTTGAAGTCAGGGAGATGAATAAGGGAAAGTCAATGACAGCTTTCTCAAAAAGCTAGAGCTTGAATTAGAATTTGAAAGAGTTGTAGGTTTGACTAGCAAGAGGGGAGGACATTTCTCAAAGGTGGGGGGGAGAACCCACTAAAGGAACAAGATGGTAATGAGGCTCATTAACTCTGGAATGAGGAAGGAGTAGAAGGAGGGTTCTGTGAAATAGTGGAAATAAGGATGGATAAGGACAGCAAGACTGGATTGTGCCAGCAGAATAGATGAGAATTGGCATCATAGAAGATAACTAATGGGATACAAGGGAAAGAGCACAGAATAGGCAGTTAGAAGACATTCTTTTGAGTCTTGGCTCCACCATTTGTAAGCTTTGTCATCTTGACAAGTCCTTAAGCTCTTCAAGCACTATCTTCCTCCTCTAATATGGGCATGGTAATACTTACATCAGGGTAGCTATCTGGCACAGTGGATAGAGTGCTGGGACCGGAGTCAGGAAGACTCATCTTCTTGAGTTCAAATCTGGTCTCAGATACTTATTAGCTGTGTGATCCGGGGCAAGTCACAACTCTATTTACCTCAGTTTCCTCATCTGTGAAATGAGCTGGAAAAGGCAATGGCAAACCACTTCAGGATCTTTGCCAAGAAAACCCCAAGTGGGATCGCAAAGAGCCAGACATGACTGAAATAATTGAACAACAAAACAAACTGAAGAAGAAAATGGCCAAGAAGAAAATTTGCCAAGAAAACACTAAATGGGGTCTTGAAGAGTTATGTGTGACTGAAATGACTGAACCACAACACTTGAAAGGCTGTTGAAAAGTTCTTCCATTCCCATTATTAGATCTACTATGTATGCTATTATTATACATGTCAAATGAAATGTTTGCAGCAGGGATAACCCGTGTCATCTTTGCTCTCAGTTTGGTAGCATTGTGTAAGATGAATTGAAGATCCTTAAGTTAGAAAAGTCAGTGAAGAGGCATGTACGAGCATTTCAAAAATAAGGAGTGGGATTGTGAGCGTATTGGTATACTTCCAGTGTTGAATGGTTCCTCTGGAGAAACTATCTCTACGAATGCAAGCTGGTACCTCCTAGGCTTCAGTTGTCTAGACCACTGAGAAGATGTGACTTACACAGGATTGAACAGCCGGTCTGAGTCAGAGCAGGACCCAACCCAAATCTCCTGGCTCTGAGGGCAGCTCTCTGGCAGAAGATACATGTGCTCTGACTTCAGGAGAGGTAGCTGTAGAGCTCAATGAATAGGCTGCGGCACCTGCAGTCAGGAAGACCTAAGTTCAAACCCTGCCTCAGACACTTACTAACTGCATGACCTCTGGCAAATTACATGCCTCATTTTCCTCAATTATAATGTGGGGATGATAATAATAGCACCTGTGCCTCCTAGGATTGTTGTGATGATCACATGAGGCATTTTTAAAGCACTTAGCATAGTGACTGGCAGTACATAGTAGGTACTTAATAAATCTTTGATCTCTTCCCCTTCTTCCTGCCTCTTACCATGATAAGGAGGCTCAACCATTTTTTCCCCTAATCAAATGAGAACAATGAAAATAAAATGGATTGGAAAGTGACATTGATGAGTAAGAAATTGGAATAATTTCACCAGCAGAGAAGAGTGAAGAAAAGCTAATAATAGCTTTAAAGTTTACAGTGAAGATGGTCACTATCTTCTTGCCTTTTGCTATTGAGAACAAAATGGGATAGAGAAAGCATAAATTACAATGTGAAAAATTCAGTTAGCTACAATGGGTAACTTTCTAAAAATGATATTGTTAAGTAAGGAACATAGCAGTAGGAAAGGGTTTGTGGAATTTTCTTCACTGGGGATCTTTTGAATAGGACACATACATGTCTACGTCTGATACCTTAGCTACGTTTATCATTTATTGTTCAGTCATTTCAGTCGTGTCCCGGCTTTCTTGGCAAAGATCCTGGACTGGTTTGCTATTTTCTTCACCAACTCATTTTATTGTTGTTCAGTCGTGTCTGACTCTTTGTCACCCTGAGTGGGTTTTTCTTGGCAGAAATACTAGAATGATTTACCATTTTCTTCTCCAGCTCATTTCACAGATCAGGAAATTGAGGCAAACAGAATTAAGTGACTTGCCCAGGGTCACATAGCTAGTAAGTGTCAGAGGTCTGATTTTAACTCAGGAAGATGAGTCTTTCTGATTCCAGGACCAGAGCTCTATCTATTGGGACACCTACCTGTCCTACCTTAGTTCTTACCTTGTCTGAAACAAGTTCTTACCTTTTCTAAAAGCTGATCTGGGACACAGAGGGTTTGGAGAAAAGGGAGGAGGGGGCTTTTCAGCTAGGATTTTATATCCTAGCACTGACCACTGTCTAGGGCTAGCCAAGCCAGCTGTTAAATGTGGGATGGCAGCCACTCTGTTCTAACGGGTGTAACAAAGACTCAGATATATAGTATTTGCTTTAGAAAAGCGGCAATTTGCAGCCTGAGCAACTCCTTTCAATAACAATGTCATAGGGGTATTTAGCAGTTGAGCTCAGCGTGTGTATTTGCAGCTGCATCATTGACACTCTTATGGTCCATATTGTGTCATTGATCCACTAAGAAATCTCTAATTAGCCCTTGGTACGATAGACTGTAATTGCTTCAGAGAAGCTGTCATGGTCTATTGTGTTAAGAATCCACATGCCCTGAAGAGCACTCCAATAAGGCCTCATACCATGGACTGGAGCAGAAATGTCTTCAGATGCAATCCACTGGGTCAGCAATCTATGTTTTACATAGCCTTTGAATATATATTTAAATGACAGATTAGGAAGAGTCGCTGGTATTAGTTTTTGTGTGATTCTGGGTTGTGAATGGGTTAGGCGGACACAGCAGCAAATGTAAATTATTGACAAAGTTGACAGAATGAAAGAAAAAGCTATGCTACATTTTTGGCAGAGGAAGAAATAGGAAGAATAACGAGAAAAACAAGAGCAAGAACAAGGAAGAATAGGACTGGGCCAATTTTAGCGGCTAGAATTGAGCATTGCTGTTTTTGTCTTTTGCACACCTGCTAAGAGAAGGAAGGAAGCAAATAAGCACTTATCAAGTGCCTACTGTGTGCCATGTATTGTGCTAGTTGCTTTCCAAGTCATTTGATTGTCACAGCAACCCAGGGAAGGATGCTGTTATTATCCCCATTTTACACTTGAGGAAACTAAAGCAAACAGATTTAAGTGACTTGTCCAAGGTCACGTAGCTAGTAAGGGTCTCAGGATGGATTTGAGCTAAAGTCTTCCTGACTTCCAGGCCCAGCACTTTACTCACTGTATCACCAACCTGCCTAAAGGACTAGAATTGGGTACCCTTTAAATTTCCAAAACGTGAAATTCATTTATTCAAGAAGACAAAATTAACTCTCTGGAACCAAAGGATAGCCTATCTTGAGAGAGACATTGTGGTCCAGTGAAAAGAGCTCTGGATTTGGAATTGAAAAAGAGCTCTGGAATGGGACCTGAGTTTGAATCCTACCATAATGCCTCTTAGTACCTCTGGTACTTTGGACAAGACCCTTCAACTTTGGGCCTCCTTTAAAAAATGTTTCCTCAGATGTAAAACATAGGGGTTAGATTGGGCTTCTCTGGTTTCTGCCGATTCTAGATATTTGATCCTAAAATTAAGTAGCAGGGGGCAGATAGGTGGCGCAATGGCTAGAGCACTGGTCCTGAAGTCAGGAGGACCTGAGTTCAAATCCAGCCTCAGACCGAACACTTGACACTTAATAGCTGTGTGACTTTGGGCAAGTCACTTAACCCCAATTGCCAAAAAAACAAAAACCACAAAAAATCCTAAGTAGGAGAAGTTTTATGTTCATTTACTCATCCATTTATTTACTTATTAAAAGAGGTACACTTATTGAGTTCCATACATTGAAGAATTTACAAAGCTAGATAGGACTTGCCAGGAGCTCATCACCACTAAATATTTGTATTGATCGTCTAACATGGGCAAGGTACTTCTGACACTTATTAGCCTTTGTGACCCTATGAAAAGTCATTGAACATCTTTGAGCCATCATCTGTTTTAAAAAAAATGGATC